TGACATTGTCAAGAGGTTACATTATTTTAGATGATGACATTGAGATATGTGACAATGTTATATCATTCTAAAAAATTAAAAAATCAAGAAAAACTGTCAATAAATTAAATATATTATAATGTAAGATAAATGACCATTGTTAAAAACAATGACAATGTCAAGAAATATCATACGATATGTCGATGACAATATCGTGAATGTTAATCTCTATAAAAATCACATTGTTAAAAACAACGTCAATGATTGCCTTTGTTTGTGCTCTTGGCCGCTGCCGCTTCTCAAGCAACCCTGCACCTGGATGACTGGATCTTCAGCAAATGCTATTTCTATTACTCTTGCGATCTTCGCCAACCGTCCTTCAAGGACCTGCTCTGTAAAAAAAAGGATGCCGCAATGTAAAAGAATGATATAATGCTAATATAAAATGTTACAATGTCTAAAATTACCACTATAGCATGGTACAAAATAACAATGTTACGAACAGAAATCAACAATGCTAAAAAACAGAGTATCATTAACAAAAAGTCAAGAGAACAAACTAAAAAGAGAGAAAGAAACACATGAAGAAAAAATAGAATAGAAAGTCAAAACAGAAAATCGGAAGAGAAAAAAGAGAATAGATCTAACAGAGAGCAGCTTCACAAAAAAACCAAGGAGGGCAGTACAGTGGAAGAGAAGACGCAGGAGAAAGAAGAAAAGGGAGGAGGAGTCTTACCATGAATTTCCAGCTCTAACTTGTCGCCGCGTCTCTGTGCAGCCACCGCCGCCGTGTCGTTGTGCCGCTAACTCACCGTTCCACCGCTGCCGCATGTCGGGTTGTTGTCTCTTCTCCATTCTAACTCATCGTCTTCAGCTCTGTGGTGCTCGCTCATATCGTGGTTGCTTTTGTCGACAACGAAGAGAAAGGAATAAGGCGTAATAGATTTAGGGGCAAACCTGGAACACGGGAAAAATCAGGTCCTATTTAGGAGTTAAAAAGGTGAAGGTCTTATTTAAGTATATAGGGAAACTTAAGGTCCTATTGTAACACCCCGGCCCCGTGGGACCCGAGGTAGTTACTTCGGACCTCTAGTACTGTCCTCACAAACCGCCACAAGCCTTTACCGCGCACTTTGTCCTCACTCATGGGACCCGAGGTAGTTACTTCGGACCTCTAGTACTGTCCTCACAAACCGCCACAAGTCTTTACCGCGCACTTTGTCCTCACTCATGCGCGCCCTGAGAAACTTCCCAGGGGGTCACCCATCCCAAGACTACTCCCGTGCGAGCACGCTTAACTTTGGAGTTCTTGGGTAATGAGCTCCCTTAAAAGGAGATGCAGCTCTATTGGTATGAGTAGTACTATTAATCCATTTATATTAAATCTCAAGTGTTACAATCACCCCCACTTAGGATCGCAACGTCCTCGTTGCGCCCTTAAACTAATCTCAATCAAACTCCAGAATCTTTTCCCCTGCTAAGTGCCTGCCCGATATCCAACGGATCAGCACACTGTCGCAGGGTTGCTCTGATACCACCTGTAACACCCCGGCCCCGTGGGACCCGAGGTAGTTACTTCGGACCTCTAGTACTGTCCTCACAAATCGCCACAAGCCTTTACCGCGCACTTTGTCCTCACTCATGCGCGCCCTGAGAAACTTCCCAGGGGGTCACCCATCCCAAGACTACTCCCGTGCGAGCACGCTTAACTTTGGAGTTCTTGGGTAATGAGCTCCCTTAAAAGGAGATGCACCTCTGTTGGTATGAGTAGTACTATTAATCCATTTATATTAAATCTCAAGTGTTACACCTATTTAGGACCATTTCTCAAGAAATAAAGAATGATGAAAAAAGAAAGAAAAGGAAATGAAGACCTGGTAAAATGGGGAAGAACGGGTCTCAGTCGGCGGACTACGGGAATGAAGATAAAAAGACAATCAGCCAGGTGGACGTTCACGTCACCAATCAACCGGGAAACCGGACCTATAAAATAGGTGATTTGATCAATTTTTAACACTTCGTGGACTTAATTGATTCACGTAAAAGTAGTAGGACTCTATTGACTTTTTCATAAAAGTACAGGGACTTATTTGACAGTTTTCACTAAGCATTTTTAAATTATCTACTATCAATAAAAAAGTTGTACTAAAAAAGAAATTGAACCAGTGGACACAATCTTTACAAATAAAAGTTTAATTTGAAGAAACACTATATATATTTCATATATAAGTTTATGTGTTTAACTATTTATTTTGCACAGAGATATATACTCTCTAATTCATTACTTAGAAGTGCATTTGTTTTTTCTTATTTTTTTTAATTATGTTTTATTATATTACTATTAATTCTTGTTTGATGTAGTTTATGTTTTGTTTTGCAAATACTACGTTTTTAATCAACAAAAATATTTTGTCAAAATCCTAAAAATCAAAACTAAAACAAAATAAATCAAATCAAACAAATCATGATTTCAAATTTTAAAAATAGAATGGAACCAATGGAACTTTTTAATTTGATTCTACATTTGATTTTAGATACAAAAAAGTAAGCATTTGAACGAACACAGCCTAATATGAATGACATATTTAAGGAGCCATATATGACTCATCTATGTAGTCATATGGTTTATGTGGGCAACACAATCACCACACATTCTTTTAGTGGGGGTCTTCACTAAAAAATGTGTGGTGATGGTGATGCATATAGGTCATATGACTCCACAAGGAGTAATGTATGGTTCTTTAAAAAATTTGTGATTTGAAGAATATGATGGATAAGTTGTTTGTTTCTAAGAAAAAGTAAAATGTTGGGACTTGTTTAATAACAATGATATTTTCCGGTTTTCCAGAAAATCGGAAAATTGGGAAAAGAAAAATAGAAACATGAAAATGTTTTTACCAAATCATTTTTCGAAACAAAAAAAAAGAGATATGTCTCCGTTTTTCTGAATGAATTAGAGAAGTGAGTTTTACAAGTTTTCCAAATTTGAAATACGCGGATGGCACGGTGCTGCAGCAATGAATTTGCACACTTACACCTAGTGGTGGACCTGATCCCGCTCTGGTATTACTTCCGAACTGGGCTGGTTAATGACCCGTTGCTCCCTATCTGGTCAGATTAACGACCCAGCAGCACAGTTAGGTCAACGACTCGATGGTCCCTATCAAGTCCAATCGACAATCCAACGGTCCTTGTCCGGTCCGGTCAATGATCCAGCGGTACATGTTCGGTCCGGTCGACGATCAGGTAGTCTCAGTCTGGTCCGTGTACCCTACTTAGATTGTACTACATTCGGTTCTGAACTGATATTGTACTTTCAGTCTTCCGACCGGTTCTAGAATCGAGTGAAAAAATTTGATGAACATGTTTTCATATTTAAAAATAGAACAGTGGAAAATGAAAACAGAAAATTAGATATAGAAAAACTAAAAAATTGAAAAAAGAAAATTGAAGAATGGAAAACATACAAGAAAACTTCTAAACAATCAAATATTCAATACACTTCACTTTTAAATTTGATGGACTTCACAGATTTTACCACTAATTCCACAAAACAATACACCCTTACTAAAAGCCCGTTTGGTAACACAAAAATCGGTTGATTCGGAAGATTCTGCCGAAATTTTTGAAGTTCTGACTAAAGTGGATGCATTGTTGATTATACTGATTAAAAAAAATTATTTTTAAAATATATTTTATTAATAAATTATATTGACTAAAAATTATACTGACTAAAATGATCATTTACGGTGAATTCAGGAAGTTATAGAATTAGCCAGAAAAGTAACTCTATTATACATTTAGCCCGAAAAAACTTTTATTAAAAAGTTGGTTGAGGAGGTGTTTACTTCACTGCTAAAGTCACAGTTAGGTTAGTAAGACAGGTGAAGTAAACACGCACACTGCTTAAAAAGCCGCTTACTAACCGAAAGAGGTGCTTAAAGTGCCGCTTATTAAGCATACCACCCCCCCATGTATTAATTAAGCGGCACTTTAAGCTTTTTCAGTTTCCGAGTTTACCCCTTGCCCGTAACCTATTGTTATCCCTGCCCCACCTCGACCCCAACCCCACCTACCCCGACCCCACCCTACCCCGATAGGGTAGGGTGGGGACAGGTTAGGGTGGGGTCGGGTAGGTAGGGTGGGGTCATGTAGGTAGGGTAGGGGTAGGGGGTAGGGGTAGGCGGACCCCACCTACCCCGACCCCACCCCACCCCACCCCTACCCTTACCCCACCCCGACCCCACCCTACCTACCCCACCCCGACCCCACCCTACCTACCCCACCCCTACCCTACCTAACTGACCCCCACCCTACCCTTACCCCACCCTACCCCACCTACCCTACCCCACCCCGCCCCCCCGCCCCTACCCTTACCCCCACCTACCCCGACCCCACCCCACGCCTACCCTTACCCCACCTACCCCACCCCTACCCTACCTAACCGACCCCCACCCTACCCTGACCCCACCCTACCCCACCTACCCTACCCCACCCTACCTACCCCAACCCTACCCTACCTAACCGACCCCCACTCTACCCTTACCCCACTACCCCGACCCCACCCCACCCCTACCCTTACCCCACCTACCCTACCCCACCCCAACCCACCCTTACCCCACCTACCCGACCCCACCTTACCCCTTACCCCTACGGGCCTATGGGGGTAGGGGCCTATGGGGTCGGGGGTAGGGTAGGGTGGGGACAGGTTAGGGTGGGGTCAGGTAGGTAGGGTGGGGTCAGGTAGGTAGGGTAGGGGTAGGGGGTAGGGGTAGGCGGTGGGGTGGGGTGGGGTCGGGGTAAGGTAGGGTGGGTAAGGGGTTAGGGGTATGGGTACACATATTATATTATATACTTGTGTTCATGAATGTTTGTGTGTATATATATGTATAGGGTTATTTTGGACATTTTAATGTTAAGCGGTGTTTTAAACCGTTTGAAGTAAACACGGTCTTACAACATTGTTTATTTTATGCGCCGCTTATTAACACGGGTCTTAATAAGCACCGTTTAATAACAGGTGAAGTAAACATGTCCTGAGTCATTGAGTGTTACAAGCCGAAAATAAAGCCTTACTGAACCACCTCTACATCGAAATCTATCCCATTGGAAATCGAATGGTGTTGAGTCCAGCAAACTTTCAGTGGCAATTGCATCAGCAAAGGTACTCCAAAGTAAGTTCTCTTGAACGTCTGTTCCAAGAGTGCTTATAAGTTATACGGAGTAATAATCAATTAATAATTCGATCCTCTTAATATTTTTATATAGAACTATACTTCAATTTTGTGGAGAAACAAACAAGACCCGTACTTGTTGATTTAAAATCTTCATTATGCGTCGATAACAGTAAAATCTGTTCGATAGCTTGTTGATTTGAAATGTTCACTATATGTCGGTTAAAGTGAAAATCCGTTGGGTAATTTGCTATGCAATTTTGGCTGTTGTTGCAGGGTTTTAATGATGGTTTGGTTAAGGCATCTGTTAAAGTGTATGAAGCTTTAGCACATGGTCGGCCAGCTGTAGCACTTAAATCTCACCATGATTTCACAGGGTATGCTATCATAAGTACTTTGCTGCCTTTGTTGGTTTAATTGTTTGGATCCTCTAAGTGGTCCAGTTGAAGAATCCATTGATTGCATTAGAATTTAGAACTGGGGCTCTTCTGGAGTCGAATACAAATTCTCCAGCCACTTTCTCACATAAGAATTAAAAAAAAAGTTATGAAGACAGTATGTATTCAATTATAGAATCAAATACTTAATTTGTGATAATGCACATCATAACACTCCACCATATTTATTTACAGAATGAGTATGAAGAATATATAAACTGTGGAATTTGTATAATGTGTGATATTAACAGACCATAGTATCTATACAGAACATGCGACATACTACAAATGGTATTAAAAAAATATAAGATGCGGAATGATGAAACACATAATTATAACATACATAGTATTTCTCTATTTTATTATAGAACAAATAAACACACAACTTGTAAAACCGGACATGGTTTAAAAGGGCCAGTTCGGATATCTAGGCGCTTTGTCCCGGTGAGGCGAGGCGTATGCCTCAAAATGTACCAACAAATAAAACCTAAAAGTATTTAAATTACTAAAAACCAACTAAAGATATGCATAATTATAAGTCCAAAATATTTCAAACACAAAACACATATATTACCACACGTCAAACGCTATAATTCAAAATAAGAATCCCAACACACAAACTAACTGATGGAGTATATTGCCATACACCCCGGGGGTACGAACATTGCTCTAAGGAACCTTTGGGATCCACTAAGGAAAATCCTGTTGAGCCCGGGCCCGCTGAGGCCGAGCTCAAGACCGACTCTCGGCCAACCCTCGGCTTAGGTTGGTAGCATTTCCAGTACAACAGCCGAGCCCAAGGCCAAAACCGGCGTCATATACTCAAGATCAACAAAGACAACCTCACTTATTGCTTGGGCCGAGGTTCCCCGTCTTTGAGCTTAGTACTCACACCCGAGGTAGGCATCTCTACACTTAGGCCAAGTTGAGCTCTGGACCTCGGATTCACATTGTGGATTTAGACATTTCCGGCACTGATATTCCACATAGCATCGCAGCTACATCACCTTGCTACAACTGTACAAGGGCTGACATCATTCATTCAATTACAAGTTTACAACAGCTAGCTGTCAGGCTTACACGTGTGGCTTATCTAGCCATTTTGTTACACAAAGGACAATCACTCGTACAACAATACTAATTAATCGATCACCAATTAGCCTAACACATGACATGTATCCAGTGAATTGGTTACAATGTTACATTTATTTGTTCACCAAGTATTTCCTTGTACAATACAAATATCACCTCCCCGCTCGTGGAAAGGGATCACATTCTGAATTTTCTAGCTTATTATTACTCTATGAAATTTCCGACTCAATTCACACTTGTTATATTTTCTGACTCTCCTTCGATTTTTCTACCTTTGAGTTGGTAAAGCCATCACTAACTCATCACGCAAATGACACAATTCAGAAACGTGGAATCTTAATCACCATATCTTATAACATTATCAGTTTATCACCATCACCATATCTTATAGCCTTAACATCATCATCGCTTCCATTATTACTATCAAAATCCTCCCATTCTTCTCATATGTCGGAGTATGAAAATATTTTAACAATTTTCACTTGCCAGACTTGTTAGGGTTTAGAATGCACATTTGGACACAAGTTTAATGTATGAGACTTTTATTAAATAAATACAGTTTGCTTTATTTAAGTTACCACCACAGTAAAAAGAAACAAACAAAGAAAACCCCACCTAAAATATGGATCCAGGCGCGCCTCAAGGCATACGACCTGACTTTTGAGATATAAGCCTCTTATCTTGTAAAAAACTAAGCCTCAATACGTAATGTATGTGCCTCACATTGAAGCATGCCTCAAAAAACGCCTCTTAACCTCCTTTCTAGACCATGAGACCGGAACAAATGTGTCCTTTTGTCTAAATAGTTGAGAAATATATATGTTATCAGATGCACAATTTAACGATATATCTCTTTGTGCTTTAGTATAGGGGTAAAACTGCGTACATCCGACCCTCTTACCCCACCGTAGGTGGGAGCTTTTGTGACACTGGGGTAGTGATGATGATGATGATGATGATTGTTCTAACAAAAACGTTTATTGGTATAATGGTATCATGGTATGTGTTCTCTAACATATAGTTTAGGGGTGTATTTGTTCCTTCACCTTAAATAAAGGGATAAAAGGGCAACTCAGTGCACGATTGCGTCCTCGCAAGGCAAGGGTCCAGGAAGTATCCCACCATAAGGGTGTAGTGGGGCAAGGCTTCTCATGCCAATTTGGCAAGAGGCCTCTCCCATAGTTTTCATATATATATATATATATATATATATATATATATATATATATATATATGTACACATAATTTATATACAACTTTACTTACTGTATGGCGTAGAGTGTTGGGCGGTGAAACAATGTCACATTCAAAAGATGAGTGTGGCAGAGATGTGCATGCTGTGTTGGATGTGTGGGAATACTAGGAAAGACCACGTGAGGAATGAGACAATCAGACAAAGAGTGGGAGTAGCACCTATTGAAGATAAGATGCGGGAGTCGCGCCTACGGTGGTTTGGTCATGTGCGTAGAAGACCGAGTGATGCACCTGTCAGACAAGTTGAGATGTGTGGAGAAGAGGCAGGGAAGAGAGGGAAAGGAAGGCCTAAACAGACGTGGGTTAGGGGAGTCCGAAGTGATATGGTTCTTCTTGGGTTGGATGAGGGTATGGCTTTGGAGAGAGCAAAGTGGAGGGCGGGTATTCGTGTGGAGGAGTGATCTCGTATTATCTTTTCCCATCATCTCTTTTTATTTGTTTTTTATCCTTTTATCCTTATATATATAAACATTATTTTTATCCTTTTTATTTTATCTTTTTAGGTATATTCATCTCTTTTTATATTATCTTTTTTATAATAGCTTATCTTTCTTATCTTTATTTTCTTTCTTTTCCTTTTGGTGGTGATATCATGTATCGATTCATGTTAGCCGACCCCAATATCTTTTGGGACTAAGGCTTGGATGTTGTTGTTGTTTACTTACTAAGTTACTAATGGTAGGAATATTCTACATGTTTATATATAGATATATTTCATAAATAAATGTAAACTGCAATACATTTCTTGCAATGGAGTGCATTATGAAATTTCAAATATCAAAAAGTTAAAGTTGGTGATGTTGCAATGAATAAACCCATAAAAAATCCATGAGCACACACTAATGCAAGACTAAAGTTAGAAATCCCACTGAAAAGAAAAATGTTAGAAACCTAAGAGTTTCTAAAACACTATTTAATTATTGAAATGGGTTCCTCAAATTCTTTTTAATGAAAAAAGGTCTGATAACAAACATTTGAAGTTTTTGAGTTTCCAACACACTTTTAGGGTTCGAAATGGCGAAATTTGAGTTCCATGAAATTTCCGTGCTTGTCAGGGTTATATGAATATGTACAATAATTATGAGCTATTTGTAAATGCCCTTATGAGCTATGTTTTCAAATTACCTTCCTCAAGGCCTAGCCTACGATTCTCCTGAACCGGCCCCTCCAAATCACCAATGCTATGCCGTCTGTCTAGCGTCCATCGCTTTTTAGAACATTTCTTAGGACATAATTGATAATGCCAAATACATGCATTCTTAAGACAGAATGGTACCTATTATGGTGTTGTTGAGGCTCCCACTTAAAAAGTCACTTATCATGATGCTTATTCCCCAATCAATTGCTATCTTGTGTTCTCTTCTCAACTGCTAATTTCCCTATTAAAATGTAGATTAGCTCAATATACATCTTCATTGCTATTTTTTCAATGATTAATTTTCTGCAGATTTGAAGGTGCATTTGCAGTTCATATATGCAACTACAGATGCATACTATGGAGTATTCTTTGTTATCTACAGTTGTTAGGACATGAGAATGGGTTGAAACACTCACTCTTGATCTTTCTTTAGTAGCTTGGGTCGAACTTAGTCCCTTAGTCCACAAGGTATGAGTCGAACTTTTAAAATAGATTCGTGCTACACTGCTACCTTATTTTACATAAAGTAAACATAGGCATAATGTATAAAATGAGCCCCTGGAATGGATCTCATAATGCTGGCCTCAGTTAAATGTCTTCTTGGGTTCACTACAAAAGCGTCTATTGTAAAATGTCCGTTCAATGGTCTGAAAGTTCTTTACTTAAATACATACATTCATCCTAATCAACAGTAAATGAATACAAAAAGGGCAAATAAAGAATTACAATCCAATTTACTGCTAGTGGATATACTTGAATAACTAATGAATCTTCCTAATAAAGCCTTCTTTTTTTGAAACCTCTTTAGACAAATGAAAACAATCTATATGGCAGGTTTTCAAGCACTACTGCTAGAACTTTCGCTACTTCCAGGGGTAGTAAGCTCTCTAAGCATAGCAACAACTTGCAACATATTAAGCCGCTTTGATGGGAAATCATCCACACATTGCAGTGTTATCTCCAAGTACCTAATCATTTCCTTCACCGCCACCTCCTCTGCTGCTACGACTGAGTCATCCATCCCGCTGCCTTTCGAAAACAATAGCAGCTGAGGATCAATGACTTCCATTGTTTTTCCTTCTCCCACTTTCATCTTTACCCATCCCACCAGGTTCGTGTCCCCAAAATCTTCCTTGTCAGTAGGCCTTTTCCCTGTCAAAAGCTCCAGAAGGACAACCCCGAAAGAGTACACGTCGCCCTTTGCAGTGCACCGGAAACTCTGGTAGTACTCTGGGGGAACATACCCCGGTGTGCCGGCAAGTGTGCTCACGCTCAAATGCGTATCTAACGCGCTTATGAGTCTGGCCATGCCAAAATCCGAAACTCTTGCTTCAAGCTCGTCATCTAAAAGGACATTGCTAGATTTCATATCGCGGTGGATGATGTGTGGGATGCAATTGTGGTGAAGGAAACACAACCCTTTGGCTGCTCCCCTTGCAATCTTCTTTCTCTCTTCCCACGTTAGGGTTAACGATCTCCTCCACCTCACGTGGAGAGCTTCTTCAAGGCTCCCGTTTCTCATGAACTCGTAAACCAGTAGCCTCTCCTCCCCTACTTTGCAGTAGCCCAAGAGAGGGACGAGGTTCTTGTGTCTGATCTTCCCAAGCGTCTCCATCTCCGCCATGAACTCCCTGTCTCCTTGACAGCTCAAGCTGATAAGCTTTTTGATTGCGACAGTCGTCCCATCTTTTAATGTCGCCTTAAAGACTTCACCGAACCCGCCCGTGCCAATCAGGCTAGCAGCCGCGAAGCCGTTTGTGGCCTCTATCAGCTGTGAGAATTTCAGCTTCCTTAGCTGCATTTGGAAAGTTGCAACATTTATGCTCAGCGGTTCCTTCTCCCTCTCTATCTTCCACGTTGTGGCTGCCTGTGATGCATTGAGCCTGTTCAGCATCTTGACTCCCTTTGCCTCCCTATGTCTAGAACGAACCATGACAACGGCCAACACAATCAAAGCGAAGATGGTTGCAACTGATATGCTGATCCCAATAACGATTGCTTTAATAATCATCCGGGAAGCTCGTGACCCTCTTTGTCTTGAGTTTTGATCTGTTGTCGGAGGGTCGTAGTTGTAAACGTACTGGCATTTGGACAAGGGGACGCCACATAGGCCTGGGTTGTTAGCAAACTGGGTGGCGGGAAGTGTGCTGAGCTGTCCTGTCTGAGGGATTTCCCCGGTCAACTCATTGTAGGAGAGGTCGATTTGGACGAGGAAAGATAGATTTGAGAAGGAATCAGGGATATGGCCCTGTAACATGTTGTGTGAAGCGTCAAACACGCCTAGGTTTTTTAGCCCACCACCGAAAGACGAGGGGATTTCTCCGGATAAACGGTTGTGAGACAAAACCATTACTTGTAAATCTATCATCTCCCCGAACTCATCCGGGATTTCTCCCCTAAGATCATTATATGAGAGGTCAAGATACTCTAGAGTCTGGTAGCTTGTGAAGAAGCTAAGGACCGGACCGGAATATAATCGTGTGAAGTCGCAAGTCTTCAGGGATGGGATTTTCAGTAGCCTCTCTGGGCGGATGCCGTAAAATTCAAGCAACCCCCCGACTCCTCGGCAAGAGTTCCCGATGTTCCGGACGAAAACCATCGTATTACCAGACAAGATCCCGCCCTGGTGGGCCTTTGATCCTTTCTGGCGGCCCAGCCGGGCTGGGATCTCACCAGTCAAACCGTTGCTGCTTAAGTCCAGCCATACCAAACTACTACAGTTGACTATCTCGGTGGGAATTTGACCACTCAAACTGTTATTTCCGAGCTGCAAGATTGCTAGCCTCTTCAGGGACCCAAATTCTACAGGAATTTCACCTGTTAGTCCGTTACTGGTGAGGGCAACCCACTCGAGATTCCCACATTTGAAAAGCTCCTGCGGTAATTTTCCGCTCAGTCTATTGTTGTTCAAGATGAGACCCTTGAGTTTCCCACAGTTACCCAACTCCGCGGGAATATTCCCGTCCAAATTGTTGTACCAGGCAATCAGCTGTTCCAGATTTCCTAGTTTCCCTAGCTCCGGAGGGATTGAGCCATTGAGATTGTTCAAGCTCAAATCAACCGTCCTCAGCTGCGTACATTTCGATAGCTGACCTGGAATCTGCCCGTAAAGCAAGTTGTCTGGTACTCTCAGCTCTTCGAGAGAAGCAGCTCCAGGGCATAAATCTGGCGGAATCATGCCGGAAATCAAGTTGGAGCTGAAGTCAATCACTCTCAGCTTACTGCAGAAGGATAAGGAAGCTGGAAACACGCCTGAGATGTTGTTGCTTCTCATCAGCAGAGTCTCCAGGGACACCATTTTTGGAAGAATAGAGTCCGGGAAGGAGCCTGTTAAATTGTTATTTGAAAAGTCCAAGTTCTGTAGCAAAGAACATGAAGAAAAGGAATATGGGATAGATCCGGTTATATTGTTGTTCGAAAGCTTAAGTTCCAAAAGTGACCCACAAGCATTCCCCAGCTCGAGAGGGATCCAACCCGTCAAAAGATTTGAAGAAAAATCCAATCTTTGTATCCTTTTGAGCTGTCCGAATTGGCCTGGGATTTGACCAGAGAATGAATTGGAAGCCAAATTCAAGTCAGAGAGATTTGTACATTTAGCAAAGTGTGCCGGAACAGAACCGGAAAACTGGTTACCCGACAAATCAAGGTGTGCCAAGGAATCACAAACCTCGATTATCATCCCAAAAACTGAACCGGTCAGGTTGTTATAAGACATGTCCAAAAAATTCAGTTTTCTGGTCTGGACCAAGAAGTTGTCTGGGAGAGAACCAGTAATATTAGTGAAAGCGACATTCACATACTCTAGATTTGGGCATTTGGCAAATAGACCCTCTGGGACATTCCCTGCCAGTCCGGAAAATGACAATTCAAGATGCTTTATTCCGTAAGGGAGTTGACTCAGCGAAGAGGACGATACTGACAACTCTTTGTTCCCAGAAGCATCAAGGGAAACCAACATGTCCAGAGAACCTAAAGGGTCAAAAGAAACATCGTCACCAACAAGGCCGGCACTTGAAAGATCAACAACACTCACTCTCCCTAGGCTACTACACTTCACTCCATACCAAGATGAGGAACATGGATCTTCTTTCTGCCGCCACCCGGAAAGAACTCCTCTCGGGTCTTCCTGGATCATTTTCTTGAACACCAGAAGGGAAGCTGCATCGGTTTCAATGGAATGAACAGGAGGTAGGGTGGGGTCTGTTGCAGCAGAAACAGGAACCAAAACTGCCCAAGCTAAGATGGCTGAGAGAAGAAGATAAAGGGAATGCCGGAGTTGTGAGATGGTGATTTCCATTTGGTCGGTGATGGGGGTATGATCTTTGCGTAGGAACGCAGAGAGAAAAGAGGAAACTATTAGCTTTAGGCAAAAGTTTGTCTTTCTGAATTCAATGTCTTTTTCATTTTCTTTTTGTTTTATTATTTATTCTTCTTGCTATTTGTAAATCGAAAAGGAGGCAAATCTCACGTAGAAAGAAGAATTGAGAAAAGCAGAGTCTGCTGTGGGGTCAAAAGGAGAGCTTTGGTAAAGGAAAAGTCATCCCTAAAATAATGAAAACCTACACTTCTTTAATGCTGTAAAACAATCACTGAAGAAAGTACTTCATCCATCATTTGATTGTTTCAAGAAACTCTTACCTTCTCCTTAGAAAAAAATAAATTCGTAGTTTATTTGTTTTCTCTTTTCAATAGTACTAAATTTTATATTAATGTGTATATATATATAGTAAAGGATTTTTTTTAATAATACGTAGTACTATACTCCGTATAATATTATATTGCATATGAAATTATGTAATATATTGAACAGTATAATAGAAAATGTAATATTTATTGTATAATATATTGAAATTATATAATATATTGAATAGTATAATACAAAACACAATATATTGTACTCGTATTGAATTATGCATATTTATATAAGATGTATATACATCACAAAATGTAAGCCAAAGCTGAAATTGAAACAAGAAATTACCCTATATCAGTGTTATGAGAGAAATTATTAAATAATAATGATAATAACCGTGATGGTGATAACAATAATATAATATAATAAGAATATAATAATAAAAGTACTAATAATAACACTAAACAATACTATAATAATGGTAATAAAAAATAATCAATAATGTTTAAAATATAAATTATAATCTGTATTCAATACCAACAATTTCATGTGTTGCCTTTGAAAGTGAGAGGGTAAAACAACCAATGTTTAGTTTTGGAGACTCGTGTCCAATTGCTTGCAGTGATAGTATTTTAATCTATTGGTATTCCTTTGCATTTTCACACTGAAAAAGGAAATATATATTCTACATATATGTAGGGAGCGGTTCCGGTAAGAACACATCTTAGGAGAAAAATGAGAACAAATGTGGACCGTTAGATTAGATTGTATGGAACTGAATTGTGCATTCGTTGAAACCGAAATGTGCATTAGATGATATTGAAATGTGCAGAATAAAAATTTAAACTTAAATGTGCATTAGATGAAATTGAAATGTGCGGAATAAAAGTTACAAAAATAACCTCACATCGTACCTTTTATTCTGCACATTCCAGTTTCACCTGATGTACATTTCAATTTCATTTAGTGCACAATTCAGCTTCACATAATGCCAATGTATTGTACCTTTTGTGCTGCACATTTCAATTTCACCTAATGCACATTACTGTTTCATCTAATGCACATTGGATTTCACTTAAAGCAAATCTAACTGTCCAGATTCGTTCCCATTTCTCTCCTAAGATCATGTTCTTATTTGAACCAAAACCTATATATATAAGTATTTGTATAGAGACTACGTAAAAAATGATGAACCATTTTGAGAACCGACTGGTTAATTGAAATTGGACCGGCATCAGTCCCAACCGTGGACTAGCTGGAAATGGTCCGGGTCACCCCTAGACATAAAGATTATCAACCTACAAAAGCAGCAATTTTGAATCACTAAAGACTATTTAGTGCTGAAGCATTCCTTTATCATAATTTGTGTGCAATGATTGAAGTTGCTACTTTTCATTAAATATATCAATTAAATTTATTAGTCAAAGTGCGGCAAATTTAAGTTAAATTAAATGTGTCGAATTTTTGTAAAAACTATGGACTGAGTCAACAACATGCGGAGAGAGGAAATATTGGTGGCCACTAGTGAAGCGGATATAAGTGACGGTCAAAGGGGGGAGTAGGGTGGGTCCGGGCAATATCTATGATCATGCTTTTCTTTCTTTAAAACGACAGGGAATTTAGAGAGTTCAGTGTTTGATCCAACAAAGTGATTTCCATGTCAGACGGCGTGAGAATGTCGCACTTTTCTGTCCACATCTCAGGCACAGGTAACAGAGGACTAATATAAATGCACTCAGGGTTCTTCTTTATTTTGGTGAAGTTCATCAATTATTTTACATCCAAGGAATTAACAATAATAATCTCTAATCTGAGTATTTATAAAAATAATCCTTTGTTCGCGTAAATAAATTGAAAAGAATTCAAACGACCCAAAAATTAGTGTCGTTGTAGAAGTGTCATCAAATTGCAACGCCATGATAATGTCATATAATAATGTAATGATGATACATTTGTATTCACATTTGACGACACATTCACTTCATATAAATTAGTGATATGCTAGTATTACGATGTGTTGTTGTCTTTCCTTGTTTTGGTACTTCTATAGTATCAAGTATTGAACCATTTTTATAAGGGAACGAATCATATTTGGAACCACCATATCCACCTAAAGTTTTAATGTTCAAGCTAATTTTAATCAAACTCAAACACAAAATTCCTATCTATTCAAAGCATCCCATAACTCATTGAACGTCATTTAGATTGAACTCAAAGTCAGCATGAAAATTTATAGACAGACAATTTGTTCTTCAAAACAAAGCAAAATCCAAAATAACAATACTCTAGAATTTTAGTCTACATGGGGCTGCAAACATAAAGTAGCCATTACATATCATCAGTAGTCATTTACTTCCACCACAACTCTATCATTAGTAGCCTTACAAAGTAAAAGTTTCTTTTTTTTGTCTTCTGCCGCCTCTCTGGTCTCTCAACAAACTCATCGAGGTCATCCTCTTCATTAAAGTCATCCATAACCTCTTCGCCTTTTGACATAACTTTCTTGTACACTATAAAAAGATCAAATAATTTTATCCAATGCTTAAACACAAGTAATTTTAATGATGAACATCTTAAATGTAAAATATTATTCAAAGAAAAATTAATGTAGTAAATAATTACTTACCAAACAACCTAAAAATCTGTCCAACTTTGACTAATTATCAATAGGGCTTGCATACAAGTCAAGTCCGTTATAGATCTGATCATCATCTGGGTTTTGGGTATTAATAATATGCACAAGGTATTTTGATGTCAACGTTTGATGAATCACTAGTTTATCATGAGACTTAAGACCTTGAAGTCAAAAATCATCATTGGAAACAATACTTTTGAGGTGAGATGAATAACCATCAGACACCTTGGTCTCTAGAATGGTTTGGCAAAATTTTTGTTTGTCTTCCTCGAAAAGAGTGTATGGTGTGGGGGTATATAATTTCCTCATAGTATTAAATGCAGTGTTCTAAAAGGCGCTAGGCGCTAGTCGGGCGGTTACTGGCTGCCTAGCGCCTAGCCCGCCTAGGCGGCCGCCTAGGTATTTTCCTATATTTCTTTGTTTTATTTTTATTTTCATTGAATTTTAAATATATTACCAATAATTTTATAATATTTTAAAACTAGAAATAGCTCATATAATCATTAGTTATTATGGTTTTTGTATAAAAATTATAAAAAGTAAAACAATTAATAGATAAATGTAGAGATTTTTATTTTTTTTAGTCTCTAAAAATGTACATAAACACTCTAAAAATTTATAAATATTTCAAAATTATTTTTTATCGTAGAAATATGAGACTAAACTATATAGGAATAGAATACTTATTGATCAAACGTTGTTTAAAGTCAAAACGGGGGAAAAAAGTTGAATCGGGAAAAAAATTAATCCAGACCGCCTAGCCACCGCCTAGCCGCCTAGGCGGCCGCCTAGCCCGCCTAGGCGCCCCGACCGATTTTTTCGACCGATTACATCAAAGTCGGGGCGCCCGGCCACCGCCTAGCGCCTAGGCGGGCGCCTAGCGCCTAGGCGGGCGCCTAGCCCGATTTTTAGATCCATGATTAAATGTTTCCTTATCTTTAGATGAATAAGGTCATTTCTAGCTTTTGGATCATCTTTGGTCTTTGTTGGTTGATCGAGTAGTGCGCCATAAAGTTCTCACTCGCATTATTCTCAATGTGCATTACATCTAGAAGATGATGAATTAGCAAATGTTGCCACTACTCTAAATAAAAGAATATCGACTTGCGCTTAAATAGCCTCGCCTTGTTATGGTGTTTGATGCCCTGTTTCCGTGTCTGTTTATTTACCTTGTATTTCCCAAGTTTGTAGTTTATGATTATGGGGCAACCAATAAACGTCAGTGATGGCATGAGTTGTCACGCTCCAGACCGTATCTAAGCACGTTTACAACCGCCGTATGATCAAGTGACGTCACTCGCAAGTCAACCTCACTTAATCATACAAGGCGTTTGATAAAATAATCCATTCATACTCAGTAGTAAACATACATAACAACATCACATTTAAACCAATAAATAGAGAAAATATTCAACGGTAAATCATAAGCCACATCCGGGCAACAACATGGGCATGCAAGCCCAAAAATTAGTTTGTAAGAAGTAAAATACTCATGAGCAAATAATTGATAGTTTGAAAGAAAATAAGGAAACACTGACCACGTCTTCCTTGAGTTGATATCACTCGTCTAGGGCGTGACAATTAAGTGGTATCAGAGCCATCTAAGTTCTAAACCATGTAATCAACCTCTCACAAGAGATTTTACAAAAAGAGTGTTACCGAAAACCATGAGCATTGTATTTTGACGCTTATAGAACTATTGTTACCTAAGTTGTAATGTATATAGTTGTTAAGACAGTACCCTTAACAATTGGTATGACGGTGATTTGGGCCAATTTCTATCTATAACGTTCTTCCGTCAATTGACATTGGTAGGAGTCTTACGACTCATCCAAATTTCTTTTTCAGAAATGGAGGGTAGGCGCATGGCGACGAGGAACAAGCCGAGGGGGCAAGCACCGGTAGCATCCATCGGGACTAGCCGGGCTGCATCTCGGGTCTCAAGAGGAGGTCGTGGATGCCATCGGGCTCAAACTGTGAACGATGGCCATGTTAGCTCGGTGTATGAAACCAACACTGAGTACTATGACTCAACGTACGTTCTTGAAACGGAGCATGAGGAGACCCCATATGACGGGAGTGATACGCACACCAACGAGGACAACCATTAGAGTGATGCCCGATTCACCCAAATGGGTGAATTGCTTGAGTGGTATAAAAAGAAGAAACCGAGGAGAGACCTTAGGCGCCAAGCAAAAGTACCTCAGGAGAGACCTTAGGAGGTTCGGGTCAAGGAAGCCGGGGAGCTTCAAGGGCCATTCCAGTAGCGACACAAGGTATGCAGGGAGGAGGTTTCTGTGTGAGAATCTTCAAGTACCTCAGGGAGGCTAGGGCCTTGGGGTGTAAGTCCTTCGAAGGGATATATCCTTATGCCGTCTATTAGAACAAAAATGATTGGTCAAAACGTTGTGGTTTGCCATAAAGAGGTATATCCTTATGCCGTCTATTATTGCCACAGTTTAGAAGGGACGACGGCTTTCACCGCCTCCGTTTTGCGCCGCCGCCAGAAGCTACATGAGGATAAGGTGTTGGTTGCGTGCCACTCAAAAACTTCCACGTGGAACCCTAATCATTTGGCTTTCCAAGTTTTGAAAATGAAACCTGGAGAAGGTACAGTTTGTCACGTCATTGGTAACAATAATATTGTGTGGGCCTCCCCATAGTCAAAGTTATTGGACACGAAAATAAAGACTCTTATTGTACATTAATTAAGTCATACTTTTGGTATCATAGACATGCCGACATGTGTGATCAAAAAATGGACAATTATTGTTTAACAAAAAAACTCTATCTATACATATGTAATAGATAGTACTTACAACATCTTCTACAAGAGTTTTTGTAAGAGTAAATTGTACGCAAGTTGTATCAATTGTATGTACGTTGTATGGTGAATATATGTAATTTATTCACCAATCCTGTATGTCGTAAAGTAATACTCATGCTAGAAATTATATACGTAGTATATCAATTGCTATGAACATTATATAAAAATTGTGTTTGGTAAAGAAACTAATTCGAGTAGAGGAAAAATATGAACTACTCCGTATGTTATTGGATGGGGGAGGGGTAAATCCAGACAAACAGAAGACAATTGAATTGTAACTCTCTTCGTCGACTACAAAGAAGACACGTGATTGACAGATTTTTTGCAATGATTTGAAAAAAAATCGTGTAGAATTTGGCCGGAGATATGTTAAATTTGTGCCAAAAGTACTTTGACACGAGATATTCGACATGTACGAAATCATCATTAAATCCGTGCAAAATCTATGTCAATCTTGTAATTTTTTGTAGTGGTCCCACCACAAGGGTTGTAGCTATTTTAACACGTGGAATGATGTAGAGATGAATAGATCTATCGAAGTTGTATGTTTGTGTATTTTAAAATCCGGGTTGTGTTTAAAACATATGACTTCTTTAATAACAACAAGATTAAGGCTATACTCCCTCCGTCCCATAATGGTTGTCCACTTTCAATTTGGCACGATTATTAATAAAGTGGTTGAAAAGTAAAAGTTGTGGTTGAGATTTGAGTAGAATAAAGTGAATTAATAAGAACCACATATTTCATGCCAAAAAAGGAAACAAGACATTCATTTTGGGACAACCCAAAAAGGAAAGTAGGACAACCAAAATGGGACGGAGGGAGTATATGTTTGGCCCGAAAAGCTGAAAAGATCTTTTTTAGACTTTTTAGTAAGTGTTAGCTTTTTTGAGCCAAAATATCCATTTATAAAGAATACCAAATGTACAGCCAAAATATATGATTACTTTCCCGTAATATGATAATTACTAACATATTTTTTTCTTTCCTACTTTGATGATATTGAGTAAATGATCATATATTGGGGAATTGCTTATACTAGTATATGATATAGTCCCATACAAGTAAAATCCGTGCAACAAATTATTCTTAATTATAACAATTTATAAGTGAAGCATATGATGTATTACACTCTGATCTACAATAATATTATCAATGGATTATATGGATCGGATCTCCTCAGTGGCTAACGAGAACTTTGGCAGACTTATATCTTCGTTTATAGGAACAGTAGTCCAAAAATTTATACCTTTTGGAGCCCGTTTGGAGAACTCTGTTTTCGGCTTATCAGGCTTATCAGTAAGCTTTTTCACCAAACACGTAACTTTTACTTTCGCGCGCTGAATTGTGTAATAAGCCGAAAAAGTAAGGTTGGAGTTAATTTTCTGGCTGTATTGGCTGAAGTTACTGTAGAGGACCATTTTAGCTATTTTTACATATAATTTTTTCTTTAATTTATTAATAAAATATATTTTTAAAATATTTTTTTCTTAAATCAGCAGAATCAGCCAAAATAGCCACTCCAGCCAGAATATCATAAATTTCAGCAGAATCAGCCAAAACAACCGATTTTGGTGCTAACAAACGGGCTCTTGGTTTACATTTTATATTTGTGTTTGAAGGCTCAACTTTGCTCCAAACCGTTGAGCCATTGTTAAGGCTTACGGCTTATCAGGATCGAGTTGCTCATTGTAGGATGCTCAAAGTCTACTTTACTACCGAAAGATATAAAAGTACGTAATTAACAGTGAAAGTGAAGAAGGAACAAAGATACATTAAAATTTAGTACGGAGTATAACAATTACATGATCAAACTATGTATAATTATTAATATACTTAGTATTTAATTCAAAGTATTTTTTATGTATTTTTGTTGTTTAATCTTTTAATTTTTTTTGGTAATTTTATTTTTCTACGTTCTTAATTAATACTACGTATAATTTTATATAAATGTTTTTATGATAGAATATGAAGATGAATCATACATGAGTAAATAGCCCCAAATAAGACCAAATTAATGCTGAAATTCTTAAATAGGAGTAGTATACTTTTATTCCCCAAATATGGCCATTTGTCCAATTTTACACCTCTAACTCATTTCAACCACTGCAGTTCATAACCTCCGTTCGCACGCTCATAACCATGTCGGCACACCGATCCATCTTTCTGCTCAACAGAGAGCTAGGCATCAACCGCGAGTGAGCAGCGGCAGCGATCCCCGGCGAGCAGCGGCAGAGTGCGCCGGCGAGCAGCGGCCGAGTGCGCCTGCGAGCAGCGGCCGAGTGCGCCGGCGAGAAGTGGCTTCCAGCGTCAGGTCCGTTTTTTCAATTTTTTGTCGTCTGAGTCTGGTGTGGTGGCGGCGGCAAGTTGTGGAGTGTTCTTCCCTCTTGTTTTCCATCAATCTGCATCTGCATCTCTCAATTTCGGTAGAAATCAAACTGGCCTGATTTACTTGGCTTCTGGGAGTGCTACACAGTATTTGGTAGTTACAATTGCCGATGTATTTTGAAAATGCCATCAAAATGGCATTTTTATTCTTTAAAATTTTCATAGTTTTCTTTGAAAATGCCATTTAGATGGCATTCTCGATTTAGGTTGGCATTCTAATTAAAAAGTTGGCATCAGTAATGGCATTCGTCAGATTTGCTCTAGCAGCGGCAGGATTTGTGGCAGTGACGGCCGGATCTGTGGTAGCGGAGGATGGATCTGCATAGGTGGTGGTCGGCGGTTGGCATAGGCCAGATCTGGCCCGATCTAAGGAGCAGGCGGTCAGATCTACGACGACGGCGATCTGATCTGCAGCGGTGGTTAGTTTTTAAGTTGCGGCGGCAGCGGCTGGCGGCGGCTGGCGGAGAGGGCGGGCGGAGGCGGCCAGAGGCGGTCTGTTAGACAGTCAGTCCGTGGGAGTCTATTATGTCAAGCTTTAGGGGTATTTTTGTCCAGCTACCAATAATAACTCCTATTTAGGGAATTTTTTAACTTCACTCATGTTTTGACAATTAAGCATTTAATTACTCCCATTTAGGTAAATCTTCATCATAGATTTGTCATTATACCATAGTTCTATTCAGATAAACATTTGAAAGTAAGGGTGAGATCAACCCAGTCTGGATCGATCGGGTTTTTGCTAACCCGAGTTCGGTCTAGATCCGGATTGGGCTTTTATATGTTAAACCTATTTTCAAATAAAATTAATCAAAAAACACAAACCGCAAATAATTACACAAATATGGAGTACTAGTCTCCCAAATTACCAACAATTTGAATCTAAAGAAGATAATTATCTTCATATTTTTTAAGATGCATATGAATAAATAATATAGGCTTCCTAAAAATGTGACTAATGTTACCATGAATATACTTTCATGGTCATTACAGTGCACGAAATTGAACATATTTGTTGTCACTAAAAGTTACTAATATTTTTTCCTATTGATCATGATTATAATCATATATTAAGAATTATTTATAAATTATATTTATATATTATATTGATATTATATTAAAGTTAATTGTTTTGGATTTCTATCCTTCCTGGCCGGATTATAAACAAGTCACGGGAAACGGTTTATTCAGTTTATACGAGACGGCGCGGCAATACGTTGTCCCATAAGCGACACGCCCAAAGTACGATTACCTCGCGGGGATGAAGGTTGAATCTTCCACGAAGCCCTGAAATCGAAGGTGTTTCTTGTTGGTCATTCAATCTATTTCTTGATCTTTAATCTCTCTAGGCTTTCTGTTGAATTCTATAGAGGATCTTTTTAGTACGCTTGGGTTTAATACATATCATGTTGAGTTCGATACCGAATCTTAAGTGAGTTAATTCTACAATTCTCGACGAACCCTTGATTTGTGGCTCTCGCGAACAGTCTTCCTCTTTCCCTGAAGATGCTTATCAGAATTATTGATTCCGATTGTTTGGGTAGTTAATAGAGTTTTGATAGTGTTAAACAACCTGTATTTGCAATGTGATTTTCAACTTACTTTTTTGAATTGGTTTCGTTTTCCAATGGTTTTCTTTGAAGAACATGAAATTGCTCACCACATGTATGCTCTGTTTTCGATTAAAAGATGGAAGAGTTTCTTTTTGCATTGAGTAATAAACTAGAAAACACACTCCTCCGTCCCAGAAAATTCTTCCCACGGCCCAAAAAGGAAAGTGGAAATCGCATAAAAGAACGTTTTTAGTAAGCAAACAAGAAATGGTGATGACTTCAGAGGCCTACAACTTAAGATCAAGAACAATCTACAAGGCACAGATCAGGTAAAATTTCATTTATTTATTTGTGTGACTTTGTAAAGGTGACTAACATCTACGCTCTTATGCAATTAGGGCTTCCAAAACCAAAAGCTGTAGCAGATCTGTTCGGGCGAAGGAACCTGCTAGGTAATGACTGATTATGGTTGTATGTTCATTTGCTTGCTTATTTGTTTTGTTGGATGTGGGCATTAGGGCATAAATGAATAGATAGCTATATAACCCTGGTGACATGTGTGTAATTGGCTGAAAATACTTGGGTGGGGTGGGGGGGCTGCGTAGGCCTAGGAGGAAACCTGTCAAGTACGACGGAGGTTATGGTCCGCCATTGACTCAGTGGTCAGCCAAGGATCTAGAAATCATGGATAGGCGTGACCGGCGTCTTGCTGAGCTAGCACTTGACTACTACCATAACTCATGTAAGGTCAGTGATTTTTTCAGGAAAGGTGTTTTGACTTTGTACTTCTTCAATGGAAAAAAGTAGGTAACATAGCATTTGTTTAAAGAATATAGAGAGAGTGATGATGGTAAGCGCTGTGTTTCCCTCCAGGATGGAGTCACCTATGAGGTGGTGGAGGTAAAGAAAAGCACGCAATTCAAACTACCCGACACGAGAGAGTATTTAAAGGCTCATACCAACTTCACTGCCAAGCCCAAAAACTCAAATGGACCCACAATGCTCTTCTTCGTTGAGATATCTTTTCCAAATAAAATTTGCAAACCCCTGGAAGCCTCTACTACTACTGTTTACGGTTGCTACATGCTTGGCACTGTTGGTGAAGGTATGTATGTCACCCAAACCCTCCATTGATAGAAGAATTTCTTTGTGTTTTCCCTTGCTTTATTTGTACTCATAACTAATAGTAACCCCCCTCCTTGTCATCTTCCTTTTGCTCTGGATATGCTGCATGCAGTTGATACAGGTCTTAATGGCTGCCTCGCATGTCGTGGATCGGGTCTTCATCACCCTCATGATGATGGAGACTTTGATATTGGTTATGAGGCTTATCGCATTTGGTAGTTAGTGCATGGGCTGCTATCACATAGTAGTGATTAATCTTCAATTGTGTGATTCTCTTAATTTGTAAAACTATCCTTATCAATCTATTTACTCCACTATCTTCTTAGTTACAATGATAGTTCAGGAGGAAGTCCAAATAGTTAAGTCTCCATCTTCTCACCACAATCTGTGAAGTTAAAACAGTTCAATGTAGTTGCAAAAAATAACTTCATGTCCAGAAAAGGTACACATCTTCCAAAATATGTTAACTTGTTTATGTTTGATTATGATATAATCATCATCAATTGTGAGTATCTGATAAGAATGGACGCCGTCTTCATTCATTTCGTTTCAGAAGCTTCTGAATTAAATCTCACTCGTGTTACTATTGATTGATCTTTAGTCGTTCCCCTCATATGCAGCCTATGTGTCTCTTATGTCGCCTTTTTTTGAGAACTCCCTTATGGCGCTTTATTCAGTTTAGTTTCGCACAACATGTAATGAGCGATACCATGATGATTTTTTATGCAACAGATCAACTATATTTCATATAGCTGAAAATATTTGTTTTCCGTCAATCACTGAAAAACATTTTAAATTGATAAATTATACTACCTTTGTCCCTTAAAACTTTGCCAACTTTGACTGGCATGGAGATTAATAAAGTAAAAAATTGTGGTTATGTTTGTGCAAAGAGACAGAATTAACTGGAACCACAAATTATTTACTTAGAAAGGAAAGTGGCAAAGTTAGTGGGATATCCAATAAAGAAAAGTTGACAAAGTTTTAAGCGACGGAGGGAGTATAAGTCATTGTATCCGAGATTAATCTATAGATATGAAAATTGAGCTCTGAAAATTGTTCTAAATATTTTTGTTTCTATTTCTAATGTGGTAATTGGATTAAAGTGTTGAAGAATCAAATTAAGTGAGCTCTACAGGGGTGTTGTTGTATTTGGGTTTGTATTGTGCGCAAATTGAGGGTACCCATTAGACACGAATGGGTGTAGGCTTACATATGAACCAAATGTTTTTTCAAAGATACAATTGTTGTATTGTATTTAACAGGCCTTAATATGGTGATAAATGTTATAGGATAATCACGCCTCCGGCTATATATCCTACTAGGTTTCAAGTCGGTACATAATTTAGCTAATTTTAAATTTGATTTTTTCGAAATCATATATAATGTGATGCAAAAATAAAATAAACTCGGTCCAACTATAGAGTTCATTTGATAATACTAAAATTGATGGAATCAACTTATTTTACTGAAATTGATTAAATTCTGTCTGATTGGGCTAAATAGGAGGAATCACCTAAATCATGAAAAGAAAACCATTTGTAAAATAAAGAAGCACTTATATGAAAAAATTTAAAATGTTCTTCTACATAAACATATCAACTAAACATAATTGTTGTAAACCCGATTTTAAAGAATTCAGAAAGAAGCTTCTTAATTAATCTCACGTCCTTTAAATTACTTTATTATGCACTTCATTTTTTTCATATTCCTCACATTTTACTCATTATTTCGTCACATTGAAAATGTAAAAAAATGCAGTTTTTTTTTAACATTTTACTCATTATTTCGTCACATTGAAAACTATTATTAATTGTTTAACATTTGTTTTTCATTTGTTTTTCATTTTATATGTCCTATTATATATTATTAAAGTTTGATCTGGCGGTCTGATCTAAATTGGGAATGAAATCAATCTAATTAAAAACATCCTAAGAGTATAACTAAATTAGGAATTTGTAAACATATAAAGATTTCCTAATTTGGATTAGGAATCTGTTTCAAAAGTGATAGCATATTTAGGGGGTGTTTGTATCTGATTCTTATAACTGCTTATGCTCCTTCAGAGAGCAGAAGCAGAAGTTGAGGTTTTAGAAGTTGAGGGAGACCAGCTTTTAAAAACTGATTCTGATTCTGCTTCTTCTTTAAAAAAGAAGCAGAAGCAGAATCAGTTCCGAACCCCCCTTAATTTGTAGTTGTAAAATAAAGAAATAAAACAACCAAACATATTTACTTTTTGGCTAAGTAAACGTATTTACTTGTGGGCACGCACGCGCACACACACATGCATGTATGATATCAAATTTCACCCTTATGAATTATAAAATAAATAAAGGTAAGCTACTTTATTAGAAGTATTCTCTTTGAATGATTCTCTTTAAATATTATTCTCTTTTGAAAATTCAAAAAGAGGATTGCCATGATTTTATTCCCAAAGTAGGACTAATTACTACCATGTTTTGGCAGTACCAAACTTCAAACATGACAATATTTTCCAAACTTGGCAGTAATTACTCCTATTTTTGGAATAAAAAACATGACAGTCCTATTTATGAATTTTCAAACTATTTTATTCATATTTCAGGAACTTTCCCAAATGTAGCCTATGTGTACGGTTAGTTATTAATTGTTGCAGTTCCAATTAAGGAACTTAATAATTACTCCGTATGAAATACCTAATAGCTAGGTTTGAAAAAAGTTATCAAATAAGGTGGTTTTTTTATCAAACGATCTTTTTTTCCATATCAATATGCAATGAAAAATAGAATCTAATAAAATAAATAAAAGGTAAGGATTATGTGATGGATGACATGACATGATTATATGTGGCGCTTTGTATGCTCTTAAAAAGTTCCTCTTATATATATATATATATATTGATTGTGATGCAAAAGCAAAATAAACTCATGAGTTGTTTACTCTCGATTTAATAGACTTAATGACAATAATGACTTAATCATTCATTCATTAAGTAATGTTTACTTACGACTTAATTGGAAGCATGCTTTTAATCATTCAATCAAAAAATCGGCTTAATTATTATGTTGAAGAATAGCAGTTCTTCCCGTTAAGACGTCTATTAAGACATTTTATCTTTCAATTTTTTTTTAAATTGGTTGTAGAAAAAAATACTAGATTGATTATTTTACTCGATTCAGATTGTTTACTAAAGAATAGCAGTTCTTTAATAAAAGAAGTTTTTCATTGAGATTATAATCTAAGAACAATACTAAATTGATTATTTTACTCGATTCAGATTGTTTATTCAGCATACAAAAATAACAACTTCGTATACAAATATCATATTATCTCGACATACATTTTAACCTAGACAAACGTCTTAATCCAGACATGATTTAATAGAAGAAAGTAAACAACCCTTTAGTTTAATATAGAGCTTGTTTGATAACACTAAAATTGATTGAATCAACTGATTATGCTAAAAATGATTAAGTTCTGGTTGAATGGTATACATAATTATTTTTTAATTTTAATAGCGAGATGTTACATTTTACTCATTATTTCGCCACATTGAAAATGTTTAAAAGTGAAGTTTTTTAAATTTCAAAACTCTTTTCTCAATTGGACAATGATGAGTTGTCTAATTACTCTAATACGGAGTAAAAAAAAAAGTAATTTGAGGAGTCTAGGGATTCCAGACGTATTCCACCTTCCATGGTTAATTCAAATGCTAGATACATCAATGAAGAGCACCATAGCACATTTTAGTGAGTGGGATTTTTTCGATCTGCATTATTCCAAATTCCCTTTTGTCTTTGTTGATAGTAAATGGTGTAAGTAATAGTATCACCTCATTGTGTTTATTCATAATGAACAAATCTGTATTTTATTAACTGATCATTGTTGTCGTTCGTATTATCATGAAAAATATCATTAGATTTTTGTGTAAAATAGATGCATTAAAAATTCGGAATTAAAAAAAGTATACCTCTTCATCAATCAGAACCATGTCTAAACAAATTAAGCTTCCATACCTTTTGTGATTGATGAAATCACATAGGCGCATAACACGAACTTTGATTGTCCAATCGAACTTGGATGTATCAAGTTGACGTATTAGAGAATAATTTCTGCATTTTATTTAATTTTAATCAATCAGGTATAATGCATAATATCACGTGTTTCAAACATATTAATGGTAAAGTATCAACTCCCATAGTTTTTAGTAATGTATAATTAAAATACTATATAAACTTACTGTGATGACATTCCTGCTATATCTAAACAATAAAACTCTTCAAACGAAGGAGAAACGTACTCGAGTAAAACTGAAATTTATAAAACTTAATAGTGAAACTATGAAAGCATAGTTTAATTCTACACAATTTTTATGTTTCTAAAATGTGAATGTAGATCGTTCAAAAAAATCCGAATATTAAAACACAAATTATACATTACGAAGGATTGTAAAGTTTTGATCTTATGTTTCTAAAATCCCAATATAGAAACACAAAATCAGTTTATGGAATCCCAATATATACGATGACACGGTCTGCCCTCTTTTGAGAGTTTCTAAAAAAAGTATACATAGTAATTAAATAATTGTTATATATGATGACATGGCAGTATTATGTGGCACATCGTATGCTCTTAAAAAGTTCCTCTTATATATATATATATATATATATATATATATATATATATATATATATATATATATATATATATATTGATTTTCCTCTCGCCAATTACAAAATCTATTTTATTTTCCTTTTTTTCCGCTTGTGATTATTCTATCCTTCCATCTTTCTTCGTTTGATTCTCTGTCCAAGTCAAAGATCGTCTCGTCTTCTTTTTCTTCTCCGGCGAAAACCAAAACCACACCATTTCTTGAGGTCAAGCGCTGCATTTTTTCCGGTAACAATGGTCTGCTATGGTTATCATGTACACTACAAAAAATCTGCGCATTAGTCACAGACGTAGTCACGGACGGTAGTGTAAAAAATCCGTGACTAATGGAGTTAGTCACGGACTTAGTCACGGAAGAAATCCGTGACTACTCACGCGTGACTAACTTTAGTCACGGATTTTCGTCCGTGACTAAGTTTAGTCACGGACTAGCCACGGACTAGCCACGGTCCATATCTGTGACTAATTTGTCACCGGAGCTCATATCCGGCCAGTTAAATTTAAGTTAGTCACGGATACCATCCGTGACTAATTATATTATTTAAAAAAATAATAATAAGTCACGGACGCCATCCGTGACAACATTTCAAAAATTCAAAATTCAAAATTCAAATTTTCAAATTCCCGGTTTCAAAATTTTAAAATTTTCAACTTAGTCACGGTCCAAATCCATGACTAAATTTTTTATTTTAAAAAAAAAATAATTTCTTTTCTGTAAAAACAAGAAATCGGATAAAATTTAGTCACGGAAATAGTCCGTGACTAATTTTCGAAAATTTTAAAAAAAATTAAATTTTCAAAATAACTTTTTACGCTTTTTAAATATTAATTTAATTTAATAATTAATTACACTTTTTACGCTAATTAATTAATTAATTTAAATTTTTTATAACGATTAATTTTTATGTAATTTATTTTAA